GGGGGGTACTAATTCCCATGTTTCATTCTTAATCAATGCATTATATTCATCACACATAGCAGCGTGCCAGTTTGGATCTTTTAGTGCACTACGGTAAGTTGGAGGTAAGGGGGAGATAGGTGAAGAGGCAGTGAGGTTCAGAATTTGTTTTGGGCAAAAGATTCCAGCTTTGGATCGGGTTTGCATGGGGTGGAGATTGGGAGGGGAGGAGGGGGGTTGGGCCGTGGGTGGCTGCAGGGCCGTGGTGGGGGTAGGGGTGGCAGTGGGCTGGGTGCTGGGGCTGGGCCGAGAGGGAGAGGTGGAGGGAGAGGGTTGGGCCGAGGGAGTAGGGCTGGGGGGTTGCTGGGCCGAGGTGGGGTGCTGGGATGGGGTGTGGGCAGTGGGCTGGGCTGTAGGTGTGGGTTGGGTAGTGGGCTGGTGGGCTACGGGTAAGGGGAAGGAGTGATAGGGTGGGGTAGTTTCGTCATCCGTGGCGTCGAGAAATTTTAAATCATGTGAAGTGAGGGGGTGACCGTAAGGAAAATTAGACTCGTCAAAAATAACATGGCGGGAGATAATGAGTTTGTTAGTTTGAAGATCCAAGCAGCGGTAGCCGCGTTGGTTGGAGGGATAACCGAGAAAAATGCAGCGAGCTGAGCGTGGTGCTAATTTGTTAGGGGTAGTGGCGGAGATGTTAGGGTAGCAAAGACAACCGAAAACACGGAGATGGGAGTATGAGGGTGGTGAGTTGTAAAGTGTAGCATGGGGGGTGTTGTTATTAAGAGTGGTGGTGGGAAGTATATTAAAAATGTGGGCGGCCATGTGAAGGGCCTCGACCCAAAATTCGGGGGGGGGTTGGGCTTGAAAAAGAAGGGATCGAACGGTGTTGTTAATGGTGCGGAGGGTGCGCTCAGCTCGTCCGTTTTGTTGACTTGTGTGGGGGCAAGAGAATCTAAAGAGAATGCCTAAGGAGTCAAAAATATTTTTAAGAGGAGAGTTACGAAATTCAGTTCCATTATCGCATTGTACAGCTTTGATTGTTGTGTTAAAATGATTTTTGGCATATGCTATGAAAGTGGTTAAATGATTAAAAGCGTCACTTTTGTGTCGTAGGGGAAACACCCATAAATAGTGCGAAAAATCATCCAATAAGATCATGTAAAATTTAAAGCCAGTAATACTGGGTACAGGAGATTGCCATAAGTCTGAATGTAAAAGTTGAAAAGGAAAACTAGAAACACGACTAGATGATGAAAAAGGGAGGCGCACATGCTTTCCCAATTGACATGCATGACATAAAGTATGTTGATAATTTTTAAAATGAGAAATATAAGGGACGCCACGGAGGACAGCTGGGCTTGGGTGACCAAGGCGCCTATGCCAAATCTGGGGATCGGCAGCGGCGACGTGGGCTTGTGCAGTGGTAGTGCGTCCTACAGGGTAGAGAGGTCCCATATCATTGGATCGATGCATCACGGTTCCCGTCCGACGATCCTTCACAGAAAAACCATGAGCATCAAATTCAACAGTACAGTTATTATCACGAGTAAGTTGACGAACAGAGATAAGGTTGTGAGTGATGTGAGGGGAGACTAAGATATGTTTGAGGGATAGGGGAGGGGTGGTGGGGATGGTGTGGCTTCCAACAGCCGTAGTGCGAACTTTAGATCCATTACCAACAGTGATATATAATGGTGAGTATAATGATGGAGAAGAAGAAACATAAGAAAGAGTACCTGGGTCGGAGGCAATGTGGTGTGAGGCGCCGGTGTCCATAAACCAGGTTGGCTCTTTGAGGGACATGGTGTCAAAATGGTGGGCCAAGGCAG